CCTAACGACAGAATTATTGTCTGACCTGGTGGATGGCGGTATTGTGGTCTCTGATGGTCATCATTGATATGCAGTCTTCTGAGTTCCTGCATATGGACAGTATCTTCTGGTAAAGATGTTCTGTCCGCTTCAGGAAAGACATGCACTTCCTCTGACGGAAAAAAAAATTGCGCATGAAATAAGAGATTTCATTTTCCTTCAAAAAATACTGTTCAAAGAAAGAAAGAGAGAACGAAAAAGAAAGGAAAGCGAAATAACAGTTACTGCGACTCATTTCATACCATGGCACTCACAAAAATTCAAACTCGTTTTCTTTCTCTTTTTTGGGTACAGAAGTTTCCGAGTAAAATAGTTTTTTAAAAAAAATATTTCTTTGTCACACAAAGCGAATCGTCGCTACTATTAGTCCTCCTTTCAAACTAAATACGGGAAGAACTTCCCGAAACCGCTGTTTATAACGTAGCCACGCTTCACCTTATTCTTTTCATTTATTGCTAAAATAGTTTACCTTCACTGATTTGCTTTGGAGACTGCACATCCGGTAACGATGATGTACTCGCTGTAGAGGACACCGAGATTCTATCACCCGCTATGTCTTTTCTTAGTGCTAATGGCGAAGGAACTGAGTACAGAAAGAAAAAGTCCATTAAACAAAGTCAGCACAAGTTATTTAATAATTGGAAGGTTCAACACATTCTTATGTCTTAATCAATTTTCTGCTCATAGCTCTGACTACAAACGTGTTGGTGCACTTCAATTGGGACCGGGTCCCAGGATACCCGAACTTACCGCTTTTGACAGTAGTGTAATCGTTATAAAATATTGTTAAAGAGATAAAGAATCACAAATTGAAAGGTTTCTTTGATGACAAGAATCAATGTGAAAGGAATTTATTACGAAGTGAGGCCTACCATTATAACGTAAAAAAATATTCAAGCTTCTTTAGAGATGTTACAGACTCGTGTCTAGGGTCCTATAGGTTCTCAACCTCTGGCAAGGAGGGGGGGGGAGGGAAAGGAGGGAAGAGATCGGTAGACAGCAGGCACCAAAAACAGTTTCTTTGCTCACCCGTCAACTCACTTGGTTTTCCAGCTTTACGATCTTTCTTGTTCGCGCCTGGAGAGGACGTGGGCGAGTTCTTCTTTCGTGTCTGTACGCTAGGAGGAGCTGCTGGAGGAAAGAAAACGATTGAAAAAATTAAAACCTGCAAACACAAGGGTCCAAAAACAATGCGTTTGGAAGGAGAGACTGGGGCGATGGAGTGACACAGTTAACTTACCGGATCCTTGTGGAGGTTCGCAGACATTTGACATTTCTCGTAACTTTTCTTCATCTTGTATGACAGTTAGGTTCGACAAGTATTGCTTTACCCTGCGTGACATCATGGACTGCGTGACAAAACAAAATGCAAAACAGAGTAAGATAGAGCAAGATCCAAGACTAACGTGGAGAATCAAATTTTCAAATGTCAACTGAAATAAAGTTAAGGCGTCTGTTTAGGAGAAATCTTGAAATCAGTTGTTCTTACCTCCTCGTACATCTTTTTGGGATTTTGGTCACGCAACGATCTCCGGCTCCATGTAGAGCTACCTGTTACCATGCCGACCACCGTTGACGTCATTTTCTGTTGCCCAGGTCCTCCTTGACTGTTCAGCTCGTCTTCGAACATCGTGTCAGGGTCCTGGAATAAGAAGAAATGCGTTAAAATAATGTTTCTATGAAATGCGCGCACTAATCAGCGTCATACTCACGTAGGGAATGGAGTTGAATTTTGAAATCTGGCGAACTTCTCTTGCAATGAGTCGAAGCTTTTCAAAATTAACCTGCAAATATATTCAAACAAAATTGTGAGCAAAAATTTATCTTCGGCAAGTGAAATCAAGGAAGGAATGGGTGTAAAGCAAATCCATATTGCGCCGCACTCTTATAAAAATAGGTGAGTTTCTCAATTCTACGACTTTTTATCTTTTACAATTAACGCAGCGTAGGCAGCTTCTTCAAGAAAAAAAACAAAGGAAAACAATATTTCCTGGAAAATAGTCTAGGAGGGGTAAAAAAATTCCTCTCAAAATTAGCTTTAAAAGTACAAAAAACCAAGTTAGTTGTGAAATACAAATGGATATTCACTTACAAGTCCGTCCACGATACTGTCATTC